CACTAGATGTCCAGTGCATGAATTCGTGCTCCTTGAAGGGAACTGTGGGCCAGGAGGCTGTGGTGGGCACAGGGGCGGGTCTTGGCCCATCCTCCATGCCTCTGCCTATCCCCTCTTGCTGCAGCCCCTGGTCCCCTGTCTGCTGGCAGCCCTGCTCCCACATGCTGGTGGCATGGAACAATTGGGGCTGGTACCAGCAGTAGGTGCGAGCAGGGCCAGTGCTGTCACTGGGTGGGAGTGGCAGCTGCTGCCCCGATCACCCCTCAGGAGCAGGGTGAGGTGGAGAAGCCCTCAGGGTGATCAGGCCGGCAGCTGCTGCTTTCACCCGTTGATGGCGCTGAGTGATCAGGGCCGGTGCCAGGCACTGGCAGCAGGTGTGAGCGGGGCCTGCACCAGTAGCAGCTGCAAGCACCTGGAGAGACCACTGCACATGGGAGCAAAGAATGTTCAGTAACCACCAGAGGCTCACCCCGAGGACACCAACCAGTGCCCCGCCTTGGTCTGGTGCCCCTGCTTACCTGCTCCACCATGTTCCGTGCTCTGCCGCCTATTGCCGCCACCCGGCATGTTCCATGCATGCCCCCTAGTGGTCAGTGCACCTCATAGCGACCGGTTGTTTGGTTGTTCCACTGTTTGGTCTATTTGCATATTAGGGTTTTATATATAGAGATAGGTTCTTGGATTCCTCTTAGTGGCTTATGGTCATCATATTAAAAAAAAACGAAAGATAACAATTACATAATCATATCAATAGATGCAGAAAAAGCATTTTATAAAGTCCATTGCCCATTTATGATGAAAACTCTCAGCAAAGTGGGAATAGAGGTATCATAACTCAACATAATAAAGGCCATATCTGAAAACCCTACAGCCAATATGGGCAAAACTAAATGGGCAAAACTAAAAGTTGTTTCCTTTAAGATCAGAAACAAGACAGGAATATCCACTTTCACCATTCTTATTCAACATAGTACTGGAAATACTAACCACAACAATCAGGTAAGAAGAGAAAATAAAAGGCACTAACATTTGAGA